AGACAAGCCCGAATTTGCAGTCACACATACGCCGGTTGCTGCCTTGGCTGTAAAACCGATATACGATGTATGATATATGCTTCTCCTTGGTCATGGCATGTACCACATGCACTGGCATCATGCAGGTAGTGCACAATGGTGCACATGAAGTGTGGATGCATCAACTTGTGGCGACCTGTCCTTTCTGCCGGCCTGTTGCGCTTGAGCGACTTGTGCCGCTGTGTGCGCTGGCGCGCCGTACAAGTTGGCCGGGGCATGATATGGTGGACTGCCCTTAGTAGCTGCACGATTTGCTCAGCACCCCTAACAGCACAGAAACGACACTACAAAAAGGACCCGCTCCTCGCCGGCACCAATCGAGAAACCTGCTTCTTGATAACCTGGCTCTAAACTGCACGTGCATCTTGCAACAAGGCTAACATTCTGGCACCATTGAGGACAGCCTTGATTGCCATAGTATTCACCGCCAGGGTATGCACCGCCAGTGTACTCACCGCCATTGTATTCACTGCCAGGGTATGCACCACCAGAATATGCATCAAGCCTGACTGTTCAGGCAGCAACTGCTTCAAGCGGCCAGCATCTGACAACGCACCCCAGTAAAAAAAAAAAACACTTGGCCAGAGATGTTGTTGCGACAAATGACGGCGGGGCTTGTGGATAGGACATTGGCGTATGCTGGTGCATCACAAACTGCTGCTGCTCTCTGTCCTGCCAAAGAGAATCACATGGAAGCTTGCAGCACCGTGACGCCATTACTGCAGTTCATGCCGTCCCTGTTCCACCATGACATCATCATGAGCTTGTTCTTGCCTGCATGGCAGTTGCAAGCTTCATCTTTGTCTGACTAAAACCTCGTTCACAGCTGCGAGCACGGGTATGCGCGTGTGTGTGTGTGTGTGTGTCTCTTCTTCTGCAACATGGCAGGCCTCCTTTGGTTCGTGTTGGCTTAAAGCATTGTGTGGCTACTTTGCTCGGGTGGGTTTGCCTGGTTGGTTTCGGCTGGTGCATTGAGGGTGGCGGGGTGCCCCCCCCCCCCTCATATCCCTCATGCCTTGACGTGGCCATGTTGGCTCAAACCATCTCAAACCCCCGAAGCGCGCTTTCCCTTTGCGTTGACACTTCTTCTGCTGGGCTTGGAGGTCACAGGGACCCCCCCACGCTCGAAGTCCCGTTCTTCCGTTAAAGCCTCCTCAGAGTCTTCTTCTTCTTCTGCCTAGCGAAAAAAGCGAAGAGGCCCCCCTCGTGTGAAAGGGACCCGCCTTTTGGGCATCGTGTGGTTTGCTTCGGGCTACTCAATATCACCCTCCAGTGGTTGACTGTTTCCAGCAGAACTTGAAAGTCCTGGTGCAGGCATGTCTCGTCTATTCCTTGTGGTTCCCTTCTTTCTCGGCCTCCGTTGGCTGTCGAGGTTCTGGTCGTGGTTCGCAGCGGGTTGTTGAAGAGGCGTACGGGCTCGCCAGCGTTGGTGGGTTGCTTCCTCTCCTCCGGCTTCTTCGTTTTCTTCTGGGGCGTCCCCAGTCGTACTCAGGCTGTCCGTGGTGTGGTAGTCCTCGAGATCTGTGGCCTGCGTGCGAAGCATGTCCGCGAAGAGGTCCTCTTGTTCAGTTTGTGCTCCTGTCAGCATTCTCGTTCTTCAGCACGGCTCGGGGCTTCTGGTTGTGTTCACCTTTTTTTTTCTATCGAGCTCTCAAAGTGGAATGGTCTCGGTCGCTCTTCTCCTGGTTCCAGCAGGCAGCCTTGTGTTCTCTCCAGAGTCCTTGCCTTCCTGACGATTCCTGACGGAATGGGCGGCCGCGTGCTGCTCCCAATCTTGCTCTCCGATCCAATTTCTTGTTTGTTTTGCCGTCTTCTGCGTCGTTGGCGTCATTCTCTTCTTCCCTTTCTTTCTTTCTTTGGGCTTCTCCCTCGCTCTCAATCTGTCTCTCTCTGTCTCTCTGTATCACTCTCTCTCTCTCTCTCTCTCTCTCTCTCTCTCTCTGTGCAGTTTTGATTGTTGCGTCCGAGCTGCGTTTCTCCAATGCGCTCTTTTCAGAATCGAAAGAACGAACGAGCGGCATGACAAGCCAGCCGAAAATACGGCCGGCTATAAGGATAGTGACCCCACCATACAAGTGGAGAAACCAACCTGCAGCTGCCAAATATCTTGGTCTTGATTGAGTGTGCTTCTGCGCACTGCAAACAGGCCGGGCACCGATGGCAAGGTCAGGATATGGATACCAGGCATCTTCGCCCAGCTTGCTAAATGCGAAATGGGTGACTACAGCCTCAACATGCGAATGACGAGTTGTCACACGCCAAACGCCAAGACTGGGACGGCGATAAAGCAAGCAAACGCCAAGCTGCCCAGACTATGTTCGAAGCTGTTGCCAGAAATCCAGAAAGAAGCAAGAAACCATAAGCACAGCCACCTGGCAACACGTTCGTCCATGGTGTCGCATGCCATCTTTGATGCTGCGCACATCACACAAAAACGACCTGCCTAGTCTCTTCAAACTTCCGAACGCCGCCATCAGAACCCCAAGGAGTGATAAAATAATCCTGGTTGCGGCTGGATCATGCTACTAGCTGCTCTCGAACAGATACTAACATCGAGGATGTTCATGTTCAAGTTCTTCCGCACGCTGCAACATCAGAGCAAAGCATCGTCACCAATGAGATCACCAATACGATCAAGCTCACCTGGTGTGCAAAATGAAGATGCACCACTGGCTCTGGCCAGCTTTGTTAAACTGAAGGTGTTTGGTTCTGTTAAAACTATCCTAAGCAACACACTCACAGAACAATCGGATTTGTTTGAGACTGTAGATGGAACTGACGCGTCCCGAAAATCAAAAAACAACGAGATCAGAATGAGATCAAAATAGCAAGGGCTGGCAAATTTTTCCTCCCAAGATTTGAAAACTTCTGGCAGGCTCTATCGGCCTAACCCGTTTCCTATGTTCGTTTGGGATGTGTTTCTGATTTGTGTTCTCGTTGTTTTCGTTGACTCATTTTTGTTGACTGTAACTTGGGTTTTGCTTTAGTTTTTGAATAGCCCCCATGTTTTCGCAGGATTGCAGGATTTCAAACTCCCCGACGCAGGGGAGCGGATCAGAAGCAGGTCGAATGAGAAAATAACCCAAAAACCAACCAACCACAGGAGAACAGAAGGAGAAGCAAATTTCAATAGAAGCCAGCGCACAGTTCCAAAGCCTCTAAACTCTCAACACAAAGCAGCTTTGGAGTTGGCAACCTATTGCGATTTCGAGGCGTTGGTGTCACATGCCAGCCTTCTCATTTGCTTCTACTTTTCTCTAGATGTGTTCCCATCTTTTTGGATGTTGCTTCTCATTTGTTTTTCGTTTGTTTTTGTTTCATCTTTGCTTCTTGCTTCCTGTCAACCCTCGGATGCACATTTCATTCGTTTTAATTTTCATCTCGTTGTTTTCTCGCTCTTATCGTTCTGGTCCATTTCTAGTCTTTATATATAGAGCTAACAGACGGTGAATTATCTTATGGAAAGCAATCCGGCACCCAATTCCCAACCAGCGGCAGTGTGAATTCTGTCGTACTCGATGCAACGGGTGTACACGTGGTCCGTGAAACCGTGCCCACATTGTTGGGACCTTTGCTTTGCAACGCATGTGCACACGTGATCTGGGTTTTAAATTGTCACACCACCACTTTGCCTTGCCGAGCTGCCCATCACAGTCGCCACTCCAGACTTGCTGAATAATTCCACCAATCTAGGAGGCAGGGATTACAACAAGTTCGTGGCAACACCGGCACTCCGTGTGGCACAAGCGCTCGCCTGAGCGCCTTTCAAGCCTTGCCACTCCTGAGGCGGAGGAAGAAAAAAATATACAATGCGCAACCTCCGACACAATGCTGAGGAAGAGTCGCAGGTCATCCGAACAATGACATCCCAAGATCTGCTTGATTTCGCATACACCTCATGCAAGGTTGGCATATGTCGGCAGGCTCGCCCTTCTTGCACGTGCTCAGCCAAGACATGCGAATTAAGCGCATCGCCATCATTAACCCATAGCTCTTGGATGGAAAGCCACTGACCGACCACACGTTTTCCAACGGTTTCGTCCCGTGTTCATCCAATCGCCAGCGAGGCATCGCAGTGCCAATCATTATCATGACTGTTCCAAAGCCTGGACAACAAGCACCAAACACGCAAAAAGAAGGCAATCGCTTTGTGTCCGACCGTTTTGTCATCAGACACGCCACTGCACATTGCCACGGCTGCATACTCCACTTTCTCGAAGATTTTCTTGATTCGCGTTGCCTGCAGAGATGCAAAAGGATGTATGTTTGCGAACACCTTGCGAGAGTATGATTACTGTTTTGATTCCCAGCTGCGCATTTGCGAAGGCATCGTCCACAACCCATGACCACGTGGACTGGGTGGCAAGGCGCGGCAGTCACATCATAATCTTGAGCACAAAAAATGCAAACAACAATCAGCCCGGTGCCAATGTGTGAACATGCGACGGTCTGATCCGATGGATGTTTTTTGTTCAGCTGCACGAAAAGGATTGTTCGAGCAAACACCCACCTACGAACCCCGAATAAGCAAGCGTCTCGCTTGCAGCGCTCAGCGAAGTCGACGACGTAACGAAAAACATGTGGGGTTGTATAAAAACCCCGTTATAAATCTATTCATCCGTTCTAGGGTTATCGTTTTTTCTTGATTATCGTTTTACAGGGTTTTGTGGAACAACCTACAATTTCATGGATTGTAGTACAAGCTTAGTACTGGAACCGCCGTCCCCGTGAGCCGGCGGGATTTTCATTGATTTGTAGTACAAGCTTAGTACTGGAACCGCCATCCCCGTGAGCCAGCGGGATTTTCATTTATTTGTAGTACAAGCTTAGTACTGGAACCGCCGTCCCCGTGAGCCGGCGGGATTTTCGTTGATTTGTAGTACAAGCTTAGTACTGGAACCGCCGTCCCCGTGAGCCGTCGGGATTTTCGTTGATTTGTAGTACAAGCTTAGTACTGGAACCGCCGTCCCCGTGAGCCGGCGGGATTTTCATTGATTTGTAGTACAAGCTTAGTACTGGAACCGCCGTCCCCGTGAGCCGGCGGGATTTTCGTTGATTTGTAGTACAAGCGTAGTACTGGAACCGCCGTCCCCGTGAGCCGGCGGGATTTCATTGATTTGTAGTACAAGCTTAGTACTGGAACCGCCGTCCCCGTGAGCCGGCGGGATTTTCATTGATTTGTAGTACAAGCTTAGTACGGGAACCGCCGTCCCCGTGAGCCGGCAGGACTTTCATTGATTTGTAGTACAAGCTTAGTACTGGAACCGCCGTCCCCGTGAGCCGGCGGGATTTTCATTGATTTGTAGTACACGCTTAGTACTAGAACCGCCGTCCGCGTGAGCCGTCGGGATTTTCATTGATTTGTAGTACAAGCTTAGTACTGGAACCGCCGTCCGCGTGAGCCGGCGGGATTTTCATTGATTTGTAGTACAAGCTTAGTACTGGAACCGCCGTCCCCGTGAGCCGGCGGGATTTTCCATTGATTTGTAGTACAAGCTTAGTACTGGAACCGCCGTCCCCGTGAGCCGGCGGGATTTTCACTGATTTGTAGTACAAGCTTAGTACTGGAACCGCCGTCCCCGTGAGCCGGCGGGATTTTCATTGATTTGTAGTACAAGCTTAGTACTGGAACCGCCGTCCCCGTGAGCCAGCGGGATTTTCATTGATTTGTAGTACAAGCTTAGTACTGGAACCGCCGTCCCCGTGAGCCGGCGGGATTTTCGTTGATTTGTAGTACAAGCTTAGTACTGGTGTCGCCTGCCTGCCGCGATGCAGCAATCAGGCCGTTTTATATCGTTATCGTTGTTTTCTTGATTATCGTTTTACGAGCCAGGGGCACTGCCCCAAACGCTTCGGGCAACTCCTTTCATAAATCGAATGCGCGGGGTTTTTATACAACCCCATGTAAGCTCGACGACGCCCGCACGCGGCCCGCTCTAAGGCCGACACGCGTTCGCGACAGGACATCTTACGAGTCCGCGCCGAGTGGTGCTGCCAGCCATGCTGCAAACTTCTGGGTTTACATGTCGGGGTTGAGGGGGTCCAGGGCTTTCATGGGCGATGCGCCGGGTGGCCATGCATTCTGCCGACTGCAAGCCGAGTTCGCCTCGGGCAAGTGCATTTGCATGCCCCTTGTTTTTCGTTTTCTTTTTGGTTGTCGGACTTTGCCGCCTGCAAGAAGATGCCGCAACGCCGCGATGCCAGGTGGTACGTTTGTTGGCTGTGTTGAACAGCGTTTGAGAAGACAGGCCTGGCCTACCAATGCCAGACTCAGCTTAATACAGGGCAAAGTGCGAGATGATACATGGAAATAAGAGCGGTCGATCTCAGCCTACTACGGGTGGCACCGGGAGCAGTGAGCACACCAGGCGGCGGTGGGCAGGGAGCTAGGTGCTGTGGGCGGTGGCCCTGTCACGGCACGCGGCTGGCAAGGGGAGGAGGGGCCAAGCAGTCTGCCAAGACATCGCTGAGGAGTGGGATGTCTCCATCGACATTTCCAGTGTTCACCAGAGGGAGTGCGAGGAGGATGGCACAGGAGGCGCGCGTGGCTGCAAAAGAGACGAGGGCAGACCAGCGGAGCACGCATGCGGAGGTGGCTGCGCTCCTGGCGGTTGCAGGCGCGGCCCGCGCCCTGTAGCGGGCAAGCTGGCGGACCAACCCCTCGGCACTCCAGCGGCCTCCGACCTCGAGAGCGAGCACGGTCAGGCGGGAGCGGGCTGAACGGCAGAGCTCCGGGTGCGTCCGCTCCTTGGCCTGGCGAGCCAAGCGCAACACGGCACCAGTGGTGCAGCCGCGCGCGCGACGGGGGGCACCGGTGGCCGTCAGTGGGGAGACAAAGGTGGTGTCAACAGCCAACTGAACACCCCCCCCGAGCGGGAGTCCGTTGGCGATGAACTCGATGCGACGCTCATCTTCGCGCTCACTGACAACATTGAGGTCAGAGGTCACGCACACGAGGGCACTCACAGGCACGGAGGACGCCAGAGGGGGGGGCACGCCGGTGCGAGACCTGGGGTCCGACTGCGGTGCTACAGAGCGCCGCCAGCCCTGCGCACCGCCGCGTCTTCCGGCTGGACGCGTCGCTGGTGAGGCATGCTGTCTGTCGCAGTATCGCAGGCAGTTGCAAGCACTGCTCTTGGGCAGCTATGGCCCCAACCGCCGCAGGCCACCAGCGCTGCGGGTCCGCCGCTCGACCGCGTTCTCGACCTCGCGGAGGCCGAGCGCCCTCCGACCTCGCTGCCAAGCACCAGGAGCTTTTGCGGCCCTTGGCGCCGGAGCTCCGGGTAAGTGGCCGCCTTGCGTCGCTCCGCTGCCCGCAGGGCGGCGCCGTCGACGTCGGCCGTGCATGGCTATGGTTGCCCCGTGCATGATACCAGCGTCGCATCTTCAAAAACATCCCGCCGGCGTAAGGCCAACTGCATGGCATCTGACGACAGCGTCGTGGCAGCCTTGCTAGGGATGGCGGTGAGCCGAGTAGCGAACGGTGGCTGGCTGGCAGGGTTGGCAGCAAAACGCGGCCGCGAAAGTAGAGGTTGCGTGTACGCGACGCGTGGAACTGCCAGCATGCGGCTAGTCACCGAGGCCTACATCCTGGTTATCAGTGGGGGCACGCTTCCCAACCTTCTGTGCGCAGCAGCGCCCAGCCTCAGCTTGGGCCAAGCATCGCGTGCCAGCCCCACCATCCTCAGCCAAACATCGCACACAGTGTGCGGCCCAGTCCGGCAGTCTGGCGCGCAAAACGGGCAGAGAGTCTCATGCGGCCCAGTACGCCACTGGAGCCGATCGAGTGGCCGACTGGAGACCGAGCCCTCCCAACACGGCCTCATCATGCGCTTCGGCGTACGGGGTCACGTCGTGTGGCGGGACGGTGCGGAGAGCATGGTTTTTTTTGTTTTTGTTGGCCCGCGGAAAGGCGCACATGGCAAGAAACAGCCAAGCGCACTGAGTGTCGGGAAGGAGGGGCAGGTGCTGCAGCAGCTCCCGCACCGGCGCCGTGCCCGGGCGGACACGAGATCTCTGTGGCCTACGGGCGAGCCACGGACGATCATGTCTCGCTCGTGCGGTGGCCTGTCGCCACGCCACACTTCTGCGCCGAGCTCGGCAATCCCGGCAAGGCCCCGATGGCACGGGTCTTGCCCCGTTTGGATGCAATGCCGCACCCCGACCGTGTTCGTGATACCATCCAAGGCTGCACGGGCCCGGCTTGGCACCGTGACAACATACAAGTCGTCGAGGGGGTTTAGGGTTGTAGGGTTGAGGGTTGAGGGTTTAGGGTTGAGGGTTTTGGGTTTCGGGTTTCGGGTTTCGGGTTTGAATGCCAAGAAGTCGTCTTGGGGATCGAGCGACGCTGCTGCACGGGCCAGGGGATCGTGCTGCCCCAACGCGAAACGCGCTGCAGCCAGCGGATCCCCCTGCTCGCATCCTTCGCCTTGCGGCATCTCGCGAAGCAGGCCCTCGGAATCCCACCAGCAGTATTGCGAGGGCTGGCCAAAAAAACAAATGCACGAACGGCAGCAGTTGACGAACGGCAGTAGTTGTGGCGCCACCTCCCGCAACTTGGCGAGAAACGCGGCGCGCGAGATGCTGTCGTAGGCGTTTCGGCCATTGAGCGACACGACGACTGCATCGGTCCGTGTGTCTGAAGCAGCCCGCACGCTGACAATTAGCGCGTCCATGCCTGCCCGCGATTGCATGGCATGCTGGTAGGTGCGCGCTGCCTGATCGACAGTGGGCGCCCACTGCTTGGCAAGCGTGCGCGCCACCAAGCGGCGGAACACATCCCCGGTTGCGATACCGCGTACGCCCCCATCGGGTTTGCGTAAACCGCGGGCAAGGCGAGTGGCCGCATAGGCTAGTAGTTCCTGGGCTTCAACATCTTGGAGCAACAGCTTCAGGTGTTCAGCACACATGCCTGAAAGTCCGGCGCGCCTCCCCGCCGCGTCGCGCAATGCCGTTCGAAGTGACGCCCCACGCCGCGAGAAAGCTGCACGGGGTCGTTTGGCTCGTACGACAGGATTTCAGGCGCGACCGGTGACCTTGCTGCTGGCGGGCGGCGGGCTGGGTCCGTAAGGGCGCGAAAGGTGTCCTCTGTCCCTGGTGCGAGGTCGGCCGCAGTCAGCAACGTGGCGAGCCCACGACAACTCACTTATGCGGACTTTTGCGGACGCCTGTTGCCGACGACGTTCGGTCGCGCCCGCTTTGTCTGGCGCCAAACGCGGTCCCCCAGCACCCGGGCGATGACGGGCACTCCTCAGGAGCCGGCACCACTTACCGCGCTGGAAGGCTACGACCCGTGCCCTTAATTCCTCGCGTCCGCGGGGGCCATTGTGATGGGCGGGGCATGCGAGCAACATGCGCGGTGCCAACAAAAATTGCTTCCACGCGCGAGCCGTGGCCTCGTATTCCGGGCCAGCGCCAGCCTCGCACGCCCAACGCAGCTGGTTGAGGGCCGACATGAAAGCATTGCGCATGGGCGTCCGCATGAAGTGAGGGACATCCTGCAATGTGGGGACTGGGTTCCGAAGCTCGGCCGCTAGGTCGACCGCATCCACTTGCTCCCATGTGCCGCGATCGTGCGTGGCAGGGTTTGGCGCTGCTGGTTCGCATGCGGAGTCTGCGCCTTCGCTCGCAGCTGGCCCGGCATGCTGTTGGCGACGACGGCCTCGGCGGCTTCGGCCCCTGCGTCCGTGGCTCGCACCTGAATGCAGCGGGCAAAAGGGCGGACCGGTGTCCAGCACACTCCGCAGGTCGGCCGCCAAGGCATGGGCTGCCGCAGCCACGGGCACACCCCCGTAGGCTTCGAGTGCAGATTGCGCTGCGGCTGAAGCGTAGCCGTCCGGGTCCGTGCAGAGCGGCAGAGCTTGGGGCAAAGGCAAGGGACCATCAGGTGGTGATGCAAGTGCCGCCAAGGTAGTTTGATCGCGGTCGCTGATTCGGCCCCCCGAAGCTTCAGCCTCGAGATCTGCGATGGCTCGGAGCAGGCGAGCAAGCGCACTGGGAACGACTGGCTGTGGGCTGCGCAACGCTACTACGAGCTCCAGCCAGCGATTGCCGGCGCGCGGGTGTTGCCGCCAAGCGCGATCGGCATCTTCGCTGAGAGACCCCGCAACGGGACGTGCAGCCAGGATTGTCGCTCGCCGGACAGCGGCTGCCACACTTGGTGGTTCTTGGGGAGCCCGCTCGCCAGCGTCGCCGCAACGAAGTCGCCGACTTTGATGAGGAGGAAGTCGCGATCGAGGACGGCCTCCACACGTTGCATGCGGCGGGACAGGAAGCCCTCCCCTCTTAAACAAGGACGGGAGCGAGCCGGACTGTCCTTCGACGTCGGGCGGGGGGGCGGTGCGAGGCGCAGGCGTGCAGGATCCGTAAGGTTCCGTAAGCGCATCCCACGTCGCCTCGTCGCCAGGTAGGTGCGAGCGGGGTGGCCCCGCGACGTTTGCAAGTTGTGGTTGAAACTGTACTGGGCCACTTGCGTTTACAGGAAGTAACACTTCCATCTCACAGCACAACAATGTCTGGCCGGCAAAGATCCCATGCCTCCACCAGCCCCCCCGTTCAATCCCTCAGCATTGTACACACGCGTCCTGCCCACATTGGACGCGACGCCGCAATGGTCCTGGACCTGGGACGTGACAAGGTCCTGGCAGGCCCTGGTGCGTCCCGGTCGTGTCCACGAGTGGTCCACGGATCCCGTTGGAGGGCCCGGGGCAGAGACCTAGGCCCGGCTCGGCAGACGGCGCTCGGCACCGGGGCCGCGCTAGCGCACGTCCGCTAGGCTGGGTGGGGGTGGGCCAGCAGCACGGCTCAGACGGGACGGGGGCTCGCGAACATAACTTCAACAAAAAGTAACACGGTCATCATGACGTGGCTGCGAACGCTACAAAATTGAGGTGCTCAGCATCTTGTGTGCTCGGGGCGATGCCGCTGAGGCTTGGGGCGCTGCCCGGACGCGTGTTGCGGAGCACCGTCAGCTGTCGTTGTCAAACGGGTCCGCTGGTTGAAAGGCCCATGGGCCCCGCGGCACGGGCCGTGTCAGCGTGTTTTTCGGGATCGGTGGTGAGGCCCGCCCGTCTGCCTGGGGCGAGCTCCCGAAACGCGAGAACATGTCGATCTCGGGAAACTTCGGCGCAAGCAGCTTGTCGGCGTCCACTGGCGCAGCGTCGTCCACACGCCTCGTTGGAACGCCCTCTATCCAGCAACACTTGGCGGCCCGCACGCCCCTGTTCGGGGAGGCGTGCGAACAGCGAGCACGAACAGCGTCGATGCGTGGGAGGATTGTTGCTCACGGTCGCTCCCTGAACAAATGCGCCACGCAGTGCGGCACAACTCATCCCCCAAATCGACGTCGTCCAGCGCCGACGTGAACCTTGCTGTGAGGCCGGCACTGGGGCAGCACTGGGGCAGCGTGGAGGGCTCCAGCAGCATCGGCAGGATTCGCCCCGCCCTTTGCAGCGACTTCGGGTAAGGCTTCGCCCGAAGCCACTTGTGGGGTCGATGCGCCATGTATGAAACGTGCGCCTCGTCGCCCACCCCGACGGCCGCCTCCACAGTGGCGACCACGGCCGCGCACGCCAGGCTCCTGGCCAGTCGACGTCCATGGAGGGCAAGCTGGCACGGGCACGCGGGGGAACGTCGCTTTCACGTCGACGGCAAGGGCCTGCGTCGTCGGTGGCCATATTTCCTGCGCACGCCTCTGGCGCATCCAGCTCCGGGATCGCGCGGATGAGACGGGGCCAGTGCATGTGGACTGACCGGCGGCGATTTTCGCAAGCTCGCGGCAAGATTGCGGCAAGTGTTGCACAGCGTTCGCCGAAGCTGGGCAGCGCTCGCCAAGCGGACGCGGCAGGCTTCGTCAGGCGCCCCGCTGCGGCGTACAGCGGACAGCAACGGGACGTAGAGCCAAGAGAAATGTTAAAACAATAATGCCCTTAACCTTCCCGGCTGAGTGGCGACGAGGCGTCCCAAGCCAGAGCCCGTTGCGAATGGGCGAGGCGGTCAACAAAAGCATCAACAGCACCCAAGAGGTCACTCAGCAAGAATGAACCGGGCAATCTCACAACGAGCTGCAAGGAGCGGCGCAAAATGGTGGCACCGGGTTGGGTTCTCCCGACGCAGGCTGCACCGTGCTTCCTAGGCAAGCTGCCGAGATGCAAGTCATTTCCCTGTAAGTCCTGCATGCCCGCAGGCGGCCTCTTGGAGCAATGGTATCAAACTGCGAGAGACAGGAGAACGAGGGAGACAAGAGCGAGAGAAAGGAGAGCGAAAGATAGGAGAGCGACAGAGAGCGCGCGATAGAGAGAGAACGATAGAGAAAGCAAGAGAGCTAAAGAGAAAGAGAAAGAGCGACAGAAAGAGAACGAGAGAGAGAGAGGGAAAGCGAGAAAGAGAGAGGGAGAACAGAGAGAGCGCGAGACGAGGAGTAGACGAGAGTGCGAGAGAAGAAAAGAGGGCGAGAGAGAGGAGAGCGAGAAAGAGGAGAGGGAGAGAGAGGAGAGCGAGAAAGAGGAGAGGGAGAGGAGAAGAGCAAGAGACAGGAGAGCGAGAGAGAGAGAGAGAGAGACAGAGAGACAGAGAGAAAGAGAGAGAGAGAGAGAGAAAGAGAGAGAGAGAGAGAGAGA